AGCAGTTTTCTACCACACTGAACAAGAATAGTAGAGATGGTATTAGCACAGAGCCCCCAACGTTAAAGCTTCAAGGCTTCCTCGCTGATCATAATGTGGGGTTTATGAGTGAGTTATAATCATCAAGAGCCTTAAACTTGAACTAAATTGAACCCACAAAGGAACTTGTTACGTTACCTAATTTCTTATTTTTAATATATTATGTTGATCCTGGGTTTGCTCTATTAGATGAAGCGTGGTCTGTGTCTAATGATGACTTAAAGAAAAAGTCAGCTTGCTTCCTTATCGATTTAGAACAGGTCCCCTTTGTAACTATGCTGTTTGGATGCAGACTGGGGTGCAGAGGCATGCTCTCTTTCATCGCCTCCCTCCTCTGCCCCACCTCAGATAAACCTCTGAAGTCTGAGCATCTGGAGCTGTCCCATACAATATGGGAGCCACTCGCCCCCTGTGGCCCCTGCTCACGAAAATGTGCCAAGTCTAAAAAGAAATGTGCTGTAAGTGTAACAGACACTCCGAGACTTGTATTAAAACAAGAATGCATAGTAGCTCATTAATAATTTTTATGTTGATTATGTATTATTAAGATTAATCTTTTAGGACAGCACCTGTGGCTCAGTGGGCAGGGCGCTGGCCCTATATACCGAGGGTGGCAGGTTCAAACCCAGTCCCAGCCAAACTGCAAATAAAAAAAGACAGCTGGGTGTTGTGGCAGGTGCCTATAGTCCCAGCTACTCAGGAGGCTGAGATAGGAGAATTGCCTAAGCCCAGAAGTTGGAGGTTACTGTGAGCTGTGATGCTATGGCACTCTACTGAGGGCGATAAAGTGACACTCTGTCTCTTAAAAAAAAAAAAAGATTAATCTTTTTTTTGAGAGAGAGTCTCACTTTCTCACTGTTGGTAAAGTGCCATGGTGTCATAGCTCACAGCAACCTCAAACTCTTGGGCTCAAAGTAATTCTCTTGCCTCAAGGTAGAAGACTGCTCAGGCAATCCATCCTCCTTGGCCTCCCAGAGTGCTAGGATTACAGGCAGGAGCCACCACGCCCGGCCTATTAAGATTAATCTTACCTGTTTTTCTTTATTTACTTTTTTGATGTGGCTATTCTAAAATTCAAAATTACATGCACGACTTTCCTTATTCTCTTATTTCTACTGGATAGCACTGTCCTGTCCTATTTCCCCCTTTCATTATCCGGGGGTAGCCTTTAAAGCCAAGTATTGATTAGTTTCTTCAGCCTAGAGAATGATATGTATTTGTGTGTGTGTTTGTGCGTATGTAAGGGGTGTGTGTGCCCCTGTGTGTGTTGGGGGTAGGAGAAGGTTCAATGGGAAGGAAAAGGAGCAAAGGAAGGGAAGAGAAGCCAGCGCCTTCAGCCAGTTGGTATGAGATGCCACCTACTCTCACCTCGAGTACAGAAGAAAGAATAGCTGAGCGCAGGTTAGTTTGCCATAAGGCAAATTTGCTTTCTTTTTTGAGACAGAGTCTCACTCTGTCACCCTGGCTAGAGTGCCATGGTATCATCTTAGCTCACAGCAATCTCAAACTCTTGGACTCAGCCAATCCTCTTTCCTCAGCCTCCTGAGCAGCTGGGACTATAGATGCCCACCACGATACCTGGCTAGTTTTTGTTATTTTTCTATTTTAGTAGAGACAGGGTCTCGCTGTTGCTCAGGTTAATTTTGAACTCCTGAATTCAAGAGATCCACCCCACTTTGGCCTCCCAGAGTGCTAGAGTGCTCTTTGTTTTAAAATAGGGTGAATCATTAGAACCTGAAGCTCATTTGAATTCTCATGTAAAGAAAGCTTCCTTAACATCAAGACAGAAGCAAACCTGAGGGTTGAGAACTATTATCACCACTGTATCCTTAGTTAAGAAGAAGAATAAAAAACTGACCTATATTCCAACGGATAGTCCTGATTGGGACAGAGGGTATAACATTTTGTTCTGTAGCATTTTAGGAAAGAAAAATTTCTGGTTGAGATAGAATCTCTTAAGGTTTTACAGTTTATACTCAAACACCCAAACAAATACAGTAGCTCCTCGGGAGAACTGGATGATTTCGTAAATCACAGTGCTTTTGATAAATGTTAAATTAAGGGGCATCAAGCACAGTCTGCTTTTTCAAAGAAAAAGAAAGGTGTTTTAGAGACCAAACCCATAGGACTGAGTTAATCATTTAATGTTTTATGTAACTTAGTTTTACTGTAATCTTGTCATAGACCACAAAATGGCCGACTTGAATATTGTCACTACTTTATTAGGTTAATTAATGAGATAGCCCAAGTGCTGAAGTCAGTGGAAAGAACCTTGAAATGCATTGCTGTGGAAGGGGAAATGAGGAGGGCAAAGAGGACAAACACTGTCTGATAGAAATGTAATCCGAGTTCAATGTCATTTGATATTTTCTAGTAGCTACACCAATGACTTTCTGCAGCTTAGAGAAAAGATGAGTATCTGAGAGAGAAAGAGAGAGGGAGGGAGAGAAGGTTTAGTGGGAAGAATGGATAAGGTGGCTCTGAAGCTGGAACTTTATGTCCCTGAGTTGGAATGCTATCATGGAAGACACCATTCAAATGTTAATAACACTCACTGTACTTTAGGTTCATCATAGAATCATACTATTCATAACTTAAAAAGGAGACATGACAATCAGCTTCTCATTTAAATGAGAAATTAGGCCCAGAGAAGCAAAGTAACTCACCTCAACTCCCACAGCAGAAGTGGTAGAAGTAGAAATAGGACCTAGTTTTAATTCTTTCTAGACACTGCGCTATGGCCTGTGGATACAGTGACAAATACAACCTGAAAGTCCTCGCCCTTGAGGACATTATAGTGTAGTGGAACACAAGTTCATCCTATTGTGTCACGGATGACACCTCCGTGCTTTGATGTGTGTATACTTGTGCCATCCCCTGACCTGGCCCAGTTCTGGTAGAAATCAGGGAATAGTAATAATACCTTGAAGGATATTTGTGACAAGTCCCAAAGTGCTCCAGGGAGTAAGGATCTTTTTCCTTCACTCATGAAAAGCAAATGAATTGATAGAGGCATTTGATAGAGGCAGCATAGATGTCTTCTGAGTCAGCTGCACGCAACAGTATCAAGGGAAGAATGACCTCAGTGGAAATCCTTCAGTGGGAATCATGCTAGAAGCTGCTTGGATGACTGAACCAGGAGCTGAGCCCTGCTGATGAGGAGGAAGTTGTCAAGCACCTCAGTGTGGACTGAACTCATATGACTGAGTTAATCATTTAATGTTCTACATAACTTAGTTTTATCACATGCTGGGATTTTGGCAACTGTTGGTGCTCCTGGGAGCACTCTGAGATTCTAAGAGGCCAACTGCCAGGACCACTTTGACTCTGGAGAGGCAAATATCACTGATGGTCATGAGAAGATTAGTTTCAAAAACAGTCAGTAGATCAGCATGTATCTTCCTAAGGATAATTAATAGTCTAACATTCCGCAAACTAGGAGCCACAGAATCTCCTCCTCTTTGTTTCTTATGTGTTCCTTTTCAATCATTGCTCATGTGGGTGCATATTTTACATTGCTTAAAGGATGAATAGGTAAGTTTATAATCTATTCTTTGCAATTAAAAGTTGCAGACTACTTTTTCATAATGTGTCTCAGTCACCGTAATTGTTATATTTGTGACTGCATAATACTCCGTTCAGTAACCCTATGTGATTTTGCTTAAACTTGTAAGCCAAGTCATTAACCTTGAACTTTTCTGAAAGTAACTGGGAATGCTTAGAGGTTTTGCTATAAAATCACACATTTTCCCTAAGTTTAAAGCCATGTTAAATGGGTCCCCTGGTGAGACAACATGTGCTGACTCATAGAGTCACAGGCCTTTGACCACCCCAATGCTCTCCCAGTGAATTTTGGCTTAAAGCAATTACACAAAATTGGTACACACTGTGGGCTAAGCTTGCCTAGAAATTAAAAGAACTCTCTTGGCAGCTTGGCTCTTGCTTGTAACAGGTCAGGAATGTAGACACTATTTTTACTGGTACATGAGTGAAGTTCCCATTAAAGAAAAAGTGAGCTGTTGTCTAAGAACTTGAACACTAAATTGTATGCTGTCCCTCCAAACCTAAGCAGGGAACCAAGAAATTAACCAATGTTCTCAAACCTTCCTAATCAGGGCAAAGTTCTGGGATTCCAGGCTGCCATCCCTGCCTCTTAGGAAGAGAATGGAACATGGGTCAATTTAATTTATGTCTTTGGGAAAAGGTGACAAATGAGGAACCTGAGATACATCACCCTATGCAAGGGTAGGCTGCTAAGGTTAGACGTTTTGAGTAACGTTGGGTTCTTTTTGATGGGGCTAGAATTTATATTCTACCTATAATCGTTATTCTTATTTAATGACGTATTAAAATCAGTTATTTAATTCACATGACTTTGGGAAATGCCATAGACTTTCTTTGATTTCATTTTTTTCGATTTTATACCAGAAATGATTTACCTCTGGCTTACCTGTCTCATGAGACTGCAGTGAGAATCAAATGAGATGTTGTAAACTGACAAGTTTAAGGTAGATGCTATCATATTAATCATCAGTAATGACGAGTAGAATTTCCCCATATAACATCACCAGCCAGGTGCTGTACTCGGTGGGTTTTTCGGGCTAAGATACGATGCCATGATGCCAGTTAATGCCATCAATCCCAGCAGTTTGTTTTCTAAGATAAACCTGGCCAAGTCATTTCCCCGTCTGCCTCTCCTTATAAAAAGAATGTTCTCCTAGGTATTGGTATGACTCAGGCATCTTGATTTCACAAGACAAAGGTCATCCATAGAATCAGTCAAGAAGAATTTCTGTAATATTTTTGTGTGCTACAGTGACAAATTATACCAAGATCCATTTGTTCACAGCCATTTCTGGGAATAAGAAAAGGTACCATCAAAAATAAAGGACAAGTCTGCAACTAGAGGAACAGCTTCCCTGTTCACTTGAAAACTCAAACTTGCTTTCAATTGTGTCCAGGTTGTGTGGTGAATTCCTCCCTGCAGAGAGCGAGCCACACAGCTCCCCGCAATGTCACCAAGAGGCACATGACCCAGTTTCTGCGGTTTGAGCTGAAAGATTACCCAAGTGTGTGCATTGCCACAACTGCCTGTAAAACATTAGGTGGTGGACACTTTTTAAAGAGGAAATTAGATAGTTTTTATTTGTTTTGCTTAAGTTTTCGTGTGTAATTTTTATCTTTTTTTTACTCCTGAGGACATTTTAGTAGCACCTTCACAAGTAGCGGTGGGAGGGTTGTGGGAGTCAGTTCTGCGCTCGCTGTCTTAGAATACAAATCTACCCATAGACAGCCATATGTATTTGTCCTGGGCAGGTAGGAATGATTGACTGTTATTGTTCTCCTGGGCTGACTCTGCCTGTGTAGGTTAAGGCACACAGGGTAATAGATTAACTCTTTTAAACCCATGGAAATCATGTTCAATGGATCACATCTTTAGGGCAGAATATTTTGATGGCATTCAGAAAGAAACAAATATTTTCTCTTCCCATACCGGGGTTCTGATTTTTGGAAGAGACTAGGGCATGGGTCATTTTTAAAGGCTTTGAAGAAACTTAAGGTAAAGGTAACTGAGATCATTCATGCTAGAGAATAGAAAGCTATCACACACAAGATACAATCCATATGTTCCCTGAATACTTAAAAAGGGAAAATGAGATCAACAAGGATTATGTCTGAGGATTTGTGTCTACACAGTGATGACAGCTTCTGAATGGAGCATTCTAGATGTTTGAAATGGTCCCTATGAACCTGCCCAAAGTGATGTCTCCTTATCCACATATTTTTTGATAAAGCTTCATCATAGTGCCATATTTAAACATCACTTTGATTAATTAGAAGGGTTTATTTGGGTTAAGTAGGTGAACAGTTGACAGAGAGGACAGAGACTTAAGTTAAGTCTCTTAACTTTTTAATGAGAGGACAAAGCCATCAAGACCTTAAGCATTCTAGAGTGATGTTCTTCAGGTGGCGCCTGTGGCTCAAAGGAGTAGGGTGCCATCCCCATATCCTGGAGGTGGCAGGTTCAAACCCAGCCCCCGCCAAAAACTGCAAAAAAAAAAAAAAAAAAAGTAATGGTCTTCTGATCTTTTTTGTCTGTGTAATTTTTTTTTTCTCAAAGGAGATTATAAACCTCCCGCAATAGAATCACCTGAAAATCTTGTTTAAATGCAGATTCCTAGATCCAATTCCAGACCTGCTAAATCAGAATCTTAGGGGTAAGAACAAGACTAGAATTTTTAATAAGCCCCACAAGTGAATGATGCTTGAGATCCACTCCCCTAATGCTGGGTAGAGGAGGGGTTCTCAAAGTGTATTCTTGGACCTGCAGCAATAGCATCCCCTGGGAACCTGTTAGAACCAAATTCTTAGGCCCTACCTCATACCTGCTGGGTGAGAAACTCTGGGGTGGGGCCCTGCAGTCTGTTTTAGGAAGCTCTCTAGGTGACTTTGGGGCTCACCAAAGCCTGACGAGCACTGGAAAACAGTTCGTAAGTTGCCTTCAGCAACTCTTTACAACAGCATGCGGAAACTCATTCAGACAATGTAACACTGACGTCCCCAGTTCTCTGGGTGGCACAGGAGGAGGTGAGTGGCAGGTGCCTCATCTGTATTTACAGCCACTCCCCATGGCTGACATCACCACCTGAGCTCCACCTCCTGCCAGATCAGCAGCATTAGGTTCTCAGAATCCTGCTATAAACTGCTTGTGTGAGGAATCTAAGCTATGCTCCTTATGAGAATCTAATACCTGATGATCTGAGGTGGAGCAAAGGTAGTGATGCTAGCTCTGGGGAACAGCTGAAAATACAGGATGGAACCATCTAGTTCTGGGAACACAAGCTCAAGGCTCCCACTGGTTCTTCATTATGGTGAGGTGTATAATTATTTCATTATCTATTGCAGTGTAATAATAATAGCAGTACAAATGCACAATAAATGTAATGCACTTGAAACATTCCAAAACCATACGCCCAGCCCCTAGTCCATGGAAAAATTGTCTTCCATGAAACCAGTCCCTGGGGCCAAAAGGTTGGGACTGCTGATGTAATGCATGCCCACACTTGGGTTTTGTTTGAAATTTCAGATCAGAAGGAATTCTACCAGAGATTTAATTCAACACTTACTCTAGAGTTTTTTTTTTTTTT